AGTAAAGCAGACTTGTGTAGGCAGTCGAGAGCTTGCAGAAATTCTTGAGAATTCTTACAACTCCCCGGGTGTCTAGATGGGGCTATATTAACACGAATAGAAGGTCTCATTTGCTTTTTTAAGATATTTCTCAGAAAGAAGAGTAAGTGCTTACATGTTCTTCAGCGCCAGTTCGCACAATTCCCTCATGCGGTAACGCAAGCCACTTGCAATTGGTCATTGTCACGCTTTTGAAAAATCAGATTGTTTCTTTGATTGACAACACAGTTCGAGTCTGCTCTCAATTAGCAAAAAGAGATACAGGTTCATAGTTTTAAGCAGTAGCCATTTTTAAAGATTCTTCAAAGCCTGAGCTAAGATGATATCCAAGTTTTCTCTACTTATTTTTTATTTTTGTTTTCTCAAAATGCATTTAAATCGAGATCATGCAGTATTTTGATTTTTTTTTTTATGACGAAGTTCGCATGATCCAACTTAAAAACAAACCGCGTTGTTAATTAGAAAACCAGATTCATTTAAGTGGTAAAATTTATATGATCCTTGTTTCTAGTTACAATACATTCGCAAGTTTCATGACGAAATTCTCACCTATAACTTGGGTCATTCCATTACTTCAACATCACCTATTATCAAAATATGCTCATTTCCATCCAGCCAAAGAAATAAATGTTTCAATCTTTTTTAGTTTACTTTTTCCAAGATTTTTTATGACCACTGCAAACGTAAAATAGCAAAATTCAGCTTCTTAAATATTCGAAATTATCAGAAAACATTTCGAGCAGCACACATCTGTTGAGCGATCTAATGAAAAGAAATTTGTAAGAAATTGAAATATTCAATTAAGCAAAACTTTCTCAATGGGTCTATTTCAATCAGGACTCGATAAAAAATAAACGAGCTCTTAGACAAAACAACCTGGCTTTTGAGTGTTACTCTGATTTTATCTTAATACCTTAAAGAGCAAAGCAACTTAAAGTGAACCACAATATTGGAAACTAGATTTCGCCGTTCAAATTTTTTAGCAAAATTAAATGGTAAAAAACAATATGGCTACATCTGTTATTAAATTTGCCTACGTCACTCATGTGGTTTAAGATTATGATGCAAATAACGCAAATTTTATCAAAAAAACTTAAAAGAATAACATTATGATTTAACTGCATGACTCAAATACTACAAGCATTAAAAAAAATTCATCACTAAGATTTAGCTGCTTGACTCAAACACTTTGGCTATTGTTCCATAATGTTTAACCCTATTGGCGCATTTCTTTTCACGGCCTAAGTTAATAACTACAGGGTAGGAACCAATAGGAAAATAGAGATGTAATTACTGCTGATGACTGTCCTCAATTTATTATCTACTTTATTCGATTTAGCTGAAACCTTCTTTACCATATTAACAGCTTGACATGTTTTTAGCTTTACATTCAAACAAAAAAGAAGAGAATTACGTACACGTGCAAGGAACTGTCATTCTAAAAACTAACTGACAATGATTTTGGTTTGGTCTTTGATTTGTTCATCTTAAGGACTCGGACTGACCCAGGTTTTATTTGTGTAGTACGTTTACTGGCGCGTTGACCATTCAAGTTGGTGTTGCTGAGGGTTAGCAATTGTAAAAGTCCGCGAATATAATCCATGGAACTTCGATAATCGTCGCATGAGCCTTTTCTATCAAAAGCTATTCTTCAGTCAAATTATTGGCTTTAAAATGTATGAAATAAAAAGTTTGCGCAGATATTCTATTCTACTTAAGCTAGATGAGTATGTTCTGTCCTGGGGGGTGTGGATTTTGAGCCATTTTTGGCTTGGAATTGACGTAGATTTTGACCATCGTGGTCTAAATTGCGTATGATGATCCTATTTGTCTTTCTCCAAAGAAATATTAGAGACAGAAAAGTTAACAAATATCATTCCAGTTCAGAAATTTGAGTAAATTTTACTAACTCTTTACTTGAGTTCTGATGCTAAGCTAAAATGCGCTGCAATAAAGATTACTGCCTCATAAACAGGTAACCCCAAAACGACTTTTAAAAGCAACAACTGAAA